TGAGCTGCCAAAATGGAGCGAGCATACATAGCAGCAAAAGCAGGCCTGAAAGCCTAAATATTGTTCATTAAATTATGAAAGTGTGTGTTTAACAGTTAAATTGAGACATGTATTGAGACATATGTATTAATAGCAAAAAAATCCACAATGTGCCTATTATGAGGCTAACAAATATTAATTGCACCAAAACTGGTACAAAGTAATGTTGGTTATTCTTAGCCAGTATTTGTCATAATAAAAATTAGCTTTAAAATTGTATGTGCTTAAGTGAAAACATTTTATGCTGTGAATTTATTAAATGTCATAACTAGTGAATATTCAATATGCATTTTTTCAAATAATATTAAAATCTACCTACGCGCAATAATCTCATGGATGATAAATGCCAACAACTGGAGTTTCTTCTTTCATGGACATTTTTTAGAAAAGTTTTCAAGGCTTTATTGAAAACATGTGGAATTCAGCAGTTTCTGTAGTAACTATTTATATGGGTATCTCTGCTGAGATCACCGAAAGACCTATTAAGATGGATGCAGGAAAACACCAGAGTGCTTATCAACTGATACATTTGCTCTCCTACTATCTTGTATGGATCAGCATTCATTTCATCAATATTTTTTCTTCACTGGGATCATGTCTGCTGAGGGGACAGTTGTATCAACCTGTCAATAATCAAACACAGATGAATTATGGACTGTGCTGAAATGAGTAAAGTGACATTTGAAATTAGAGAAGAAGATAAGCAATTTTATATGATATGGGATTTGTTTTATCAATGGTTGGATAAAAAGGCATGGTAATATAATACACTAGATAATTTTGTGATAGAAATCTAATAGATTGATATAAAACATAATATAGATATATATAACCACTGGTTGAAAGTATAACATAAATTTTAAGATAAAACTTGGAACATCTCATATAAAACGATGGAATAAATAGTTTAGTCATGGATGATTAATAACTGATAAATATATAAACATATGTTTGACAATGTGAAGACTGATATAAATTGTGAGTAAATGACTACAAAAGTATAGCACAAAAGATACGTAACCAACTGACACACTGTATGTATATAAAATGATTTTATTTTTATGTTTTTGTATGTGTATGTTTGTGTTTAAAAATAAAAAACTTTATTTAAAAAAAATAATCAAACACAGATGCAGGAAAACTTTGATTTGTTCCCCCAGGATCACCAATCATCCAAATGCGTCACCATTTCAGCCTTCGTTCAGCCTGCAACGTGCTGCTTGGTAAGCAGAGCAGAGATAAAAAGTTAGTAGTGCTTCTTAGTGTATTTTAATATTTGTATTCTGAAAGCAACCACTTAACTTATAATTTAAGAGAGTGGGCCAAATGTCTAGCTTGCTTTTTACTATTGGCATGAGACCCTGTGAGTAACTTGGTTACAGTTGCTATGGAAGAGACTCCTAGCTGATCCTTTGAAATGATACAGTAGTTAACAGCTCTATGGGAATAGGATTAATCAATGGTATGATCAGGATTTTAAAACAAGGTGAGTTTTAAAAGCTGAACTGCCAATCTAGAAACAGTTAAGAAGGGAGTATAATCAAGTTACTTATGCTTGCTTAACATGTAAAATACACCCAAATATCTGACGACTTCTTCCCTGTGATCTTTGTTACAAGAGTAGCAGTTTGGGTCTAAGTATAATCATACTGCCTCCAAATGGTTATTATTAATTTTAGTCCTATTTGTCAGCATGCTGTAAGCCGTTTGTCTCTTCAGAACTAGAGTGGCATATACACTGAATAAAATTGTTATCTGGAATTTTAGGCTTTATTACCTTCATTATTAAGGTGGTATTAGCATTTTAGAATGACATCTATGCCTCCTTTGAAGTTCAGGAAGCCATATATTTCTTTTTAATCAATGTTTACATGCAGAAATTACCCTATTGATAAACTAAACAGGGCCATATTCTGGAATCATTGGATGTTGCAGGTGTTAAAGAAGCCCCAATGGGAAAGGAAGATGTAACATATTTTTAGTCTGTTTTTTTATATCAATGTTTTTTATTGTTGTTTTCTGATGTGGCACATATATCAAATAAAGGCAACAAAATTAAACAGAAGATATAAACATGGCATTTAATAATTCACGGGAAAATTAAAATAGAAGAGCAACTGGAGTGAGGAATCAAGATTACTGAGAGAAAAACTAAAGCATCAGAAGATTTAGAAAAACAATCAAGAACACTAGAAAAAGGTTTGAAATCGTTTCTTTATTACCAGTTAGAAACAGCATGCTTCGTATGCAGGTATGATTCCACAAGTGAGAAGCGTCCTGAGATGAGCTTCTAGTCTGCTCCCAGTGACAAGGAAAGCAACCCATTTTTGCATGTGTATTTATGTGAATAAATTGATCTCCTTTATTAGAATACAACTAGGGAGGAGACTTGAAACCATTTTAGAAGGTCTTGTTAGAAATTCCATATAGAACAAAGGAGAAAAATGGGTGCTTTAAGCATCTTTTTGCTTTGTTTACCTAATACAGTAATCCATAATTACATGTTTGATTTGGGCTTAATGTATTGCATAAACTGAGTTAATTGTAATTTATGGTAAAACAATCTGTGGCTTAGCATAATTTCTGACACAGGTCTTTCTCAGTGGTGCACAGGTTTAGATCAACCAAACTAAGTTATGGTTTCTTTTAATTATAATTTGAACAAATTATATGGTAGCCTAGTTCACACTTTATATTACATAGTTTATATATTATAAAATATGATAATTTTCTTTTCCCACTAAGGGAAGTAAAAAAAAAAAAAGGATTCTTGGGAATACATGCTTCCAATTAAACTCAAAATACCATTTTCATTTCTTACCATTTCTTTTGTTTTTGCCCACCTCACAACTGTAATAGTATAGCCACACTGTATCAACTTTTATGCTAAAAAGCAAAGCACTTCTTTGTACACTATAAACCTACTTTTTATACTCTGTATTTCATGGATTATTTTTTTCAGTTTCTCACCTATAACACCACTTTAGTATCAGGGTGTGAATAAAACAGGAAACACATTTTGGTTTGAACCCAGAACCAACCATTTTGTTTTCAAATTCTACCAGACTGTCCTGGATTTACTGGAGTTCAGCAGAAACCAAATGGTGAGAGATCCTATAATTTTTTAATATGTAAAATGTAGGCAAAATGTATCACCTTCTTCCTCCATTCATTATCCCCAGAACAAGGTATGTTATCAGTCTGTTGGCCTTGACTTTCATGGACCCTTCCTTTTCTTTCTTCACCACGAAAATATTGGCCTGCTTACCTGTTTCCTACTGCAATGGACTTAGCAGCAAAGAAGAGATTCCCAAAGTGACGAACCCCACCTGTTTGCCCACTTCAGATCTTCCCTCCAATTTTTCCTCTCTTCGGGCCCTTGGGTTTTTCATGCCATTACCTGCCAAACTATTTCTATTCAGAACAACTCTGTTTTAGTCCATAATCTCTCTTTCAGTTTGAGGCTGGATAATCTCAAACCAATTTCTTCATATATGAAATTGTTAGAATATCTACCATCTCTCTACTTAAACTAAAATAACGGTTTGGCTAACTCATAAACAGTCCCTGAAATGGACAACAGATGTCAAGATGGATAAATGTGGGCTAGACAGAACTGTGGTTCAGTGGATTTATAACACATCAAACAACTGCACCTAAGAGATATTGAAAAATGACTGTGCATCATTTTGAAGAAAAAACCAGGGCTTTCACATTGAAGATGAAAGAAATGAATACCAAATTTGCAAGCAACACCAAATTAGCAATATTAGCTAACAGTTTAAAGAACAAGGCTGTAGTTTGAAATGAACATCATAACCTTGAAGATCAGGTCAAATCCAACAAGTTAAAAATCCTGCATCCCAGAAGAAAAAATCATACATATAGGCACGGTACTGAGATGAGACCAAAAGACTAGTACATTTTTGGGTGCGATAAAAAAAACACACATGTTTGGATCACAGGAGGTAATAGTTCCAGCTCACTGTTTGTTGTTATGTGCTTGAGTACTGGGCAATATGGAGAAGCTGGATCAAATTCAGTGGACAGGTATTAGAGTGACTAGAAACCTGAAACCAAGCATTTGGAAAAGACCAAATACGGTGAAATAGAATGGTGGTATATACCTAAATAGCTGCTAGATGCAGAAAGAAACAAATCCATTCTTTGTTGTTAGATAGTAAAACAGCCTGCCAGGAACAGTGAAAAGTCTTTCCCTCACACCTTAAGGTTTTTAAAGAATACCTGGATGGCCACTCAGTGGGGATAATTTAGTGAATTCCTATGTTGAATATAGGCTTGGACTAGATAACCAATAAAATCCCTTCTCACTCATACATTTTATCAGTCCACCCAAACTTATATAATGTCTTCTGTAGTGTTAGAGCACTCCATTAGAACAGTTTCCTAGCTACATGCATTTGAATATTAATATATTTCCCCATGTATCTAATATTTGTGAAAGAAACCTTCCTCAGACTAGCTGCTTCATTTCAAGCAGTCCACCAGAAGTGAAATGACACATTACTGGAAACAGAAAAAAATATTTTAAGGTGAAATGATCAACAAATTAATTTCCCTTCATCCTATTTTGTTAAGTAGCTTATTTAATGTGAATTTAATGTGAATTACTACAACTATAAAATGGGAGATTGAGTTCTAGTCCTGCTTTGGGCACAAAGACCAGCTAGCTGGGTGATTTAGGGGCAGTCACATTTTCTCAATCCCAGGAAGAAGACAATGGCAAACCACTCCTGAAAAACCTTTCCAAGAAAGCTGCAGGGATATGTTCAGGCAATCTCTGAGAATTTAACACAATTGAATGAAAAAAAAAACCACCCAAACTCCACAACTGTATTCGACTCTGTCAAAAAATTCAAAATGAGTGGCTCCACTGACTTTAACTCTTCATCTATAATAATGGGTAATAGAACTTCACAATATTTTTGTTATCATATAACTGATGGAAAACTTTTCAGCCCTGAGAGAAGTACAAGTGTTTGATTATGTGAAATCTCAATTTAACAAGATAGAAACGCTGCATGCAAGAGACCAAATTTCCATCTAGTTATTCCCCCTGAAATAATAAACAAGCCTACCATATATAAAACAATTTGTAAGATGCAGTTACATATTAATTTTGCAACACTATGACCAAAATATGTAAGCTGCCATGATGTATTTTAGCATTTAACACATTTGAAATTATGATTTTATTCCAAATTATTCTCTGAAATGAGAAAATTGGATTCAAGACTAAGCTGGGGTCCCATCTGCTTTTGTTTCTGCAGTCCCCTTGAAATATTCAGTAATTTCTATTCTTAGCAAAATAAAACCTCCCATGTGTTATTTTTCTGTGGCTGAAAAACACTTAAGCTTAGAGATACTGGAATTGAAATTGAAATAAAAGAACTATGACTATTATTTTGCTGATGTCTACTTAGCTCTACAGGCAAAGGGTCTGTGGCAAACTAATGGCTTTTGGCTTTGAATAAATACGTCTAATTACCATACATTGCACCTATCAATAAAATAAACAAAAAACAACAACCCCAGAATAACTTATTTGTAGTTTGTAGTGACAAAGTAATTGGCTCTCTTTACTTATACCAGCACAGAACTGTATCATCTTTTATAATCTTACAACACAAAGTACTCAGGGAATTCTTTTTAAAAGTAAGATTAATAGAGGAACATGTGTTTATCACTGGGACTTTTTCTAAACAAGGCTTAAATAATGACAAATGTCAAAGCATTCCATAGAAAAAAATATAAAAGAAATTTGGGAATGAATTAAATAGGAAGTTAAACTAAGATTCTGGAAGAAAACATCTGCAACTAATGAAAAAAATACTTTTTCCAGAAAAAATGTAGCAATTCATTGTGATGAATATTAAGAAATGCACAATTATACCATTGCCATTATTAAAGAATGTTTTCTATTTCTTAAAATCAAATTATTTACAGTGATGTATTGTTTAAGAATCATTAATATATTGCACATAATTTAAATTCTTTAATGTCATTCTCTACAAAGAAGTTAAATTATCATCAGTACTGACCTTACATATTTTAGACAGAAGTGATGCTCCTGGATATTTCAAGAACAAGATACTTAAATAGATTAAAAAGCTACAGTTGTATCCTTTCAAAATTCAAACTGAATTAAGGTTACAGTAGTGGCTTTCTGTTCTTTCACAGAACATCCAGATGATAACACATCACAGAGCTGTGCAAATTGTGGTTCCAGGAAAAGAAACAACTACCTCCTTTTTCCTGCACCACTTTTTCCTATTTTACTGTTACTGCCAGTAGACTTGCTGGAAGATTTTGAAGAGAAAAGTCTTGTCATGAACTCTGACACATCAGGAAGCTCATGGTTAGAATTCAACATATTCATGGATTGCTCCATTTCCTAAATACATACAAACAAAAGGAAAGTATAAGAGAAAACCATTTCTAAATTATATATTAAAGACTACACACAGTGAATTTTTACAGTTTGCATTTGCTCTCTACCACATACCCCCACTACAGATTCCTCTATTCAGCCAGTGTGAGGATTTTAAAAGAAAATGGTTATATATGTAGGAAAGAAACTACTAAAGCAAAAAAGCATAAAACATGTCTAAAGTAGTCTTACAGGACAATATCAATTCTTACACATTTTGAAAAACTGAAAAATCTCAGTTCTAAGTGTTATTTTTTTCTTATAGCTTTTCTTCAAACAAATGAATAGAGATATATCATCCAAGCATAATATTGGACTATTAGGCCATTTCAGGATCTAGTCTAGAATGTAATAAGAATAACTTGAAAATAACTTGATACCTGTAAAGAACTACTGAAGACAGAGATAATTCAGAAGAAATAAAAATTAATACCAACTGAACCCCAGAAGCAGCAGCCAAAGGGCACACAGTAAGCACCACTAAATATAGAAGATTCAGTAAACACCTTGAGTCTCCATTTTGTTCTAGCCCTCCGCTATTCGGCATAATGCATGGTGAAAGGACAATGTATTAAAATAATGTAAGAAATACCATACTGCAACTTCCTATTACTGTGAATTTATCAAAAGTATGGGAATTCTTGCTGAAATCATAATTACAAAGAGAAGGAGAGGACAGCATGAGGTAGCAGAAAGTTTTAGACTTATATTAAGCACAGAAACTGAATTCCTTTTAACCAAGGTTAGTTAAAACATTTTTATTAGAAATCTCTACTAAACAATTCGCTAGAGTGAATACAAAAGAGCTGTTGATCTAATATCAGAGCAGTCCAAGAAATCAAGTCATAGTAGTGAAGAGCACACATGCTCAGCTAGCCATAGATCTGCCCAGGACTTTGCTTTAAATAACAATGTTTACGAGAGCTCCCATATCCCAAAAAGAACATGCTAATTCCTAAAAGGAGCAGAAGAAAGTTTAGGCAGCAAGTGCCTTTGCTAATGACAAAGGAGTAAAAGCTAACATCCTCCAAATAAGCTTTGATGAAATATGGGATAAACCCACATGGAAAATAAATCTGCTTTTGAAGATTTCCCATTCAATCATGAGAGGGGATTAATTCTCTCGTGGGAATGTTTTCTTGATTTGACTTTGAGATTCAGAGCACCCCACAGTACTTTGTGTAGGTGGGGAACATAAAACTGTTGAAATTAAGATTATCCAGCATCCACATTCTCAAGCACAACAACTTTATCACATTTGCTTTTCCATGGGGGGGTTTAACTAAAATACAGATTAGGCTGGTGCCTGGGGGAAGGGTATTTTTGTTTCAGGTAAGCTTCATAGATATGGTGAGCAACTCCCAATCATTTTATGAGAAAGGCAGCCATATAGGCCCTATAACTAAATGTCATTTCATCACATGAAACTGACTCCGTTCTCTTTAAGCTCATCCTATTTTCATAAGCTTTTTGGAGAATGCAAATAAAACATGGAAAAAACTAATCTTTTATGTCTTAAATCCTACTTTCCAGTAATAATTTCCTCTTTTTTTGCATCATTGTGTTTAGCTCAGAAATATATTTCAATTATAGCAATAAACCAAAAGCTCACTATTATATCTGACACTTTCCTGATTCTGTATATTATATATCTATACCTATATCTAGATTCAATATTTGCAATTTTTACTTTTGCAAAGCTTACTCACCCGTCTCATGTCAGGATCACTTGTATTAACAACTTTGGGTAATAATACAAAGATTAGCAATGGAAGGATCATCATCATAACCTTAAACAGAAAAAATTCAAAAGGTATTATTAATTTATTCACCATTTGATACTTCAAATAAATGATGCCTCTTTCAGAATATTTATGTAACTTCAAAACTACTGTAGTTGTTTTGTTTTGTGAACAATCAAAAAGTCATGAAAATGAATTGAATGTATTATGACTAAATCTGAATTCTCCTAATACTTGACCATGATCATTATTTATTTGATGTCAGCTAAAACTAACAATTCATTTAGTGACCGTTCAAAGTTATATCACTGAAAAAAGTAATTTTATGACTATTTTTACATTTATGACCATTTCAACATCTCCATGGTCACTTGATCAAAATCCCAATGCTTGGCAACTGACTTGTACTTATGACAGTTGCAATGTCCTGGTGTCATATGATTGCCTTTTGACCTTCTGACAGGCAGTCAATGGGGAAGGCAGATTCACTTAACAACTGTGGCAAGAAAGGTCACAAAATGGGGCAAAATTCACTTACAAAATATTTAACTTCACAGAAATGTTGGGCTCAACTGTGTTTGTAAGTTGAGGACTACCTGTATTGAACCTTTCACAACAAACTATGGTGATCAGAAATATTCAAGACATAGTTTAATACGATTCCTTAAGACTGAAAAAAAGAAACTACCAACCTGAGTTACATTTACCAAATGTGTCTTAAGTAACCACTGAAATTACAAATCTCTTGGGATTATAGCAATGTGAGATGAGGTAAAGCATATTTGTTCTTTACTATATTGGAAGAAAGAGTCAATATCAAATAGCAGGTATTTAAAAAAAATGATGAAATTGAGTGTAGCATCAGTATAAAATATTAAAAGTTTGATAGTGAAATTGTGTATTTCAGAACTTTGTGAGGCACTCATTGAAGGAATTTAAGAAAAAAATGAATGGCCATTATCAAATAACCTGTAATTGAACTGTGTAGTAGTGTTTCTTAGTAATAGCACTGGATTATATAACTTTCACGATTCTTTCAATTCCATGACTAACAGATTGATTTCATTATGAGCTCATTATCTACAATCATTTTTCGTACAATTCTGTAATCATTTCTAATATGTAAAGAATACAGCCACTCAAAAAGATACTCAGATGCTATGATTTTATACCTATGAAAATCAGAATAGTGCGAATAATGATGTTCCCTGTGATACTTTATGGGAACAAAACTTGGACTCTGAAGAAGTAGGATGAAAAGAGTATTGATGCTTTTGAACTTTAGTGTTGGAGAAAACGCCTCAGAATACTGTGGACAGCCAGGAAACAAATGGAACAAAACAACCTCCTCAAGCTATAAATGACAATATTCTTCTTTGGACATATTATGACAAATTTAGGAACAGATCATCATGAAAAAAAACATTTATGTGGTCACCAAGAGTTGACATCCAATTGACAGCACGTAATTAACCAAACAAGAACTACTCAGATTATCTTGTAGAAACCAACCTAGTCCAAATACCTAATTTTAATCAGTATTCCAGGTTTCTAGGACAAGTCTATATAGTATAAAGTTTTGTTTTGTTTTTATACTTGAGTTCAATATTAAATAAATGTCAAGTTAAACATTATACACATTTAAGTTACTATATTCATTTTTTATGCTTTGGCAGTTTTATTTCAACTTTTACTTATATACCAGTAATATACCATATTAATGCTAAGATGCATTAATTTTTGCAAAAAGAATCTATTTGACAGACAGAAATAATAAAACTACAGTCTTAAACATATTCTTAGGAAAGACAAATGAAATTCCTGTTTAGTTGATGTAACCATCTATCTCTCAATATATGTATATTTTGTCAGTCTCAAACATGCTTAACTGAAAGTGAATATATCTACTCCATTCATCGTTACCTTACAGAAAATATATGCTTTTGATTATTATTCCAGACACAGAACCTTTGAGATTTCTCAGGACAACCTACAACATATTACAATCACAAAATAAAATTCTGAATAATTAAAACACACAATAATTAAAACACACAATAGAATATAAACGCTAACACTTGCTTGATATGTAATTTCTATAAATGGAAGAATAGTCTGGTAAACCTGTTGATGTTTACACAATTCCATACATACCATGGGATTCATTAAAAAGTCTGTCCATCCCCAAGACTCTCTCTTTATAAAATATGAAGGAGGCCCAGAAGATTTCATTTGAAGGGGATATGGCAATCGAACGACTTCTGATGTTTTGATATAATTCACGTATCTTGCTCTGAAATTTTTTTTAAAAAAGTATTCTATAGATTTTTCAATTAAACAAAACATGTTATTTTCTCTATCAATACCTCTAAACAGTATCCTTTACCTTTTTATATGGATTTATATTTTCCAAACTCTGGGGCTTTTCCTACAATTTATTAATGCAAGAGAAGTTTGAGAATGATTTAACGAACACTGCAATTTCACCTATGGAGATACTGTACCAGATATCACTACAAGTCAACTATATCATATGTAATAAATTCATATGAAATATGAAAGTTATAATTTTCAGAAATCCAAGTATTAAAATGAAGTTTTATTTCTTATACATATCTAACATGCAAGATAAGTTCAAATTGCTTATATAATTACAATATGAATATCAACACATTATTAGCAATAAAATTATGGCTGCTTTAATATAATGCAGTAAATCACCATTTGTTTTAATCATTTATTAAACAAGTCAATGATCTGGTTTACACAATCATATTCAATCAAACCAAGTTTCAGAAACCAAATGATTTCATTTATATATTGTGATAAGCCAGAGAAATTATTTTACTGCTTATTTTACTAACTGAAACAAGCATATATTACATATTACAATGTTCATTAACAAATATTTTATCCCAATAAAAATGAACACAAACTGGTCCATTTGGATTTTTGATTCACTAGATCTTCCTAGATTTTTTGAAAGCCTTTCCAAATGTAGTATGATGGTGTATGCAGATGTTAAAATTAAGCTTTTCATCTCTTAATTTACAAAATATATTGACGTTGCAATATGAAATTTTAAACTGTTCACCTCATTTTTCCTCTTGAAGTAATATCTACTCGTACTGGTTCAAATTTGTAAGCTGGAGATATAACTTCAACAACATATGATCCAGAAGGAATATCGTGAACCACAAAGCTTCCATCTGTCCTGATAAAATGGAAAAGAGCCAAATATATAACTCTTATCACGTTTTCAGAGATAACACAATAATTTTAGATTACATACCACAAGAAGTTTTGCTTAATCAGACAAATTAGCCATAGTATAGAGCTACAATTCAGAGCATTAGACTCTCTGTGTTAAGAAAATAAGATTATAATTTCTCCCAATATATATGTAATTCAATTTTCTTCATTTCTAACAAGTAACAGTGAACTGGTATAGCAGAGGAGTTATGAATACAAGATAAAACATTCTAGTTTCTATCTCAGCATTTCACTTGGCCTAAGACAAACTGCAAAAATCATTAATATGTTACATACAAAGAATATTTACCTTATAGACCTGTTAGTTTTACATATAAAAATAAATGAAGTATATTGTTTTAATATTATTTTTTTGCTTAGAAAAAAAAGGCAAGTAAAGCAATACACATGGCATGGAAAAAGTTGATAGGGAGAACATTTTGGTCTGTCCACCCAATAAACTGGAGTAATTTATGATTGGCGGATTGTACTTAAATATATTTAAGTATAAAATTCATAAAATATATTCCTTCAATTTCTAAGCCACTCTACATTTTTAATCAAAAGTGAACAGATACTTTTTTAAAAAAAATAAAAATGTGTGGACAAATTTACTAGTCATAAATGGCTGTAAAAGAACATAAAAACAGTCCCAATGCTTCAGGACAAATCTGACATCATACCCACAAAATTGGGCTTAGAATATTTGCAGACCAGAGTTATAATTTTTAAAGCCTGTGATGGCCTTAAAATCACGCAATTTTATAAAGCTTACAGGTTCCTACAGTTAAAAATTTGAAAGTTGGTCTATCTGCGGATGATGCATTTTTCATATTTTGGCTGACATTTTGAGGGTTGGCTTATCTGCAATTATATACAACATTCCTTCCAATTAGTTTGACTGGATGACCCCTGGTCCACTATTTTAAGAAGACAGAAAAAATATTAATATTTTATAAAATTTATTTATTAAATAAAATTTCATAAATGAAATAACAAAATTCTCCGCAGTTTACAATAAATCTGTCCACTTTCTTTTTTCAAGCTAAAATTCCAAATGTATTATCCTTTTCTTGTATGGAGGGTATTTGAGTCCCCAAATCATTTTGATTGGCAACTTCTGCATTTTTCCTGTTCTGTTACTTTTCTAATATGATAACCAGAGCAGTACATAGTATTGTAGATGTAGAAGCATTGCAAACTTGTACATGAACACTGCAATGTTGACAGAAATTATACATTTGAGCCATCATCTTCACTGAATTAATCACTAGAATTCTACTTTTCCCTGGATACACAACAGGCTTTACCACAGCACATATAAAGTTAGGAGGTTTTGCTCTGATGTACATCACTTTACATATAATGAAATCTTGGTCAATCATACATTCGAATATATTAATTTGTCAACATCAGAGGCAACTTGATTCTGTGTGCATGTACTTCTAATCTGCAGGAATTCATTAGCGTAGTAGCTGTGTTAGCATTTCAACCCAGAATATTTCAACCCAGAGGATAAGTTATCTTATGAACTCTGATAAGAGACTTGAGTACCTGCTTAAAATGCACCCCTTAAAAGCAACTGCCCTTCTGAGAGAAGCATAGGGGGAAAGAAAGCAAGAACTACTTCCCCATCAATATAGTGTTTAAGGATACAACAATAATGTAATTAATACAATTTTTGACACATTATTCTAGGTCCAGTCCTGACTTTCCATTAAGAAGAAAAAACAATGACCAGATGCATGAAATTGTATGTTTGAATTTTAATAAAGACGTATTCTAAAACATGTTGGCATTAACATTTTCAAACAGCCGAGTATGTGTGTGGAAACTTATATCTGCAGATCTGAAATTGAGCAATTTATTCCTCAGAGCAGAAAACCAACTGTAAAGATTGAGAGGTGTTGCTTTGCCAGGTCAAATACATTCAGAAAAAGCTGCTTGTGATCTTCCTAAGCAACAACCCCATCCCAACACACCCTGACACAAGAAATATGCCTTAAAATCTGTCCTGGATAATTTGCCTTGACCTAATCCAGGCCAGTTTTCCCTTTAGCCTATTCCGGCATCAAGATTTTAAGACAGAATTAAAATAATAATGACAGGCCTTAGTCTAGTGCAGGGGTCCCCAAACTTGGCACCAGCTGGCTGAGGAATTCTGGGAGTTGAAGGCCACATGTCTTAAAATGGCCAAGTTTGGGGACCTCTGGTCTAGCGAGGTAGGAAGCTTTAAATTGCGATATAACTTATATCACACCTTTCCTTTAGAAACTCCCTACTCCAACTTTTGTCCACATCAATGCTGTGGATTAGGATTGGCTGGGAGGAGTGACAGGGCCAAAGTCATCCAAGGCCAAAGGATCCATTTGAATCCGTCTCTCCCCAGGGCCAATTCAGAATCCAAACTCTCATCTACAACCTCTCAAGGCAAAACCTCCCTCGACACAAGCTTGACTCCACCGACACAATTACACGGTTTACTTGACAACACCAGAGCAGTATCTCGCTGCCGTCTTCAATTCCTTCAATTAGCATTGAGGGGGTTTGTTTTCTGGTAGTGCAAAACTTGCTTAGTATTTTCTTTCTTCTTTTCTTGGGCAAGACAGTTTAAGTGACAGCCATGTTAACCCTGAGGGAAGACTGGTAGGAGACCCGTCTTCGCCGAGGTCATTCTGTTTCCGAAATTAATAAATACATTAATGAATATTTTTTTTTAAAAAAAAATGCCCTTTTCGTGGTTGCCCAATATAGCCCTGCGAAAGGGTTAACTAACAAACCGCGGGCAACCTCCCGGGGGTTTTCCCGAAGAGACGCGAGGATCCCAAGCGAATTAGAAACCAGTTCTCGACGTGGTCCGGAACGCAGCGGGAGCCCCCCCTCCCCCAACAAGCGCCCCAAACGGGGCCCGCAGAGCGGGGCTAGGAGAGTGTAGACGGTTTACCGCCACCGCGGCTCCTACTCACTTGAGGAAGCCGACGTGCTCCTCCCCGTCCACCAGCACTCGGGCGCCCGCAATCCAGTCTTGGGGCTTCACTCCCGGCACCACCGCGCGACCCTCGATCTTAAACCGCTCACCGGCGACGACAGCATCCCCGCCACCGCCGCTGGGCGTTTCTGAAGCCCACGAACGTGAGGGAAACTGAAACGTCGCCGCCAGCAAGAAGACCGTCCCGAGCAAACCAAAAGGTCCGGCCGCCATGATAGCTCTTGCGCGAGATACCGGGATAACGAATAAGCGGAAGGAGGCTTTTTTTTTTTTTTTCCTTCTCGTTCTTCCCCTTACTGGCGCATGCGTCAAGCGACCGGAATGCGCCTTTCGACGGACTGGCGCTGCGTGTGATCACGTGACAAATAAGGGAAGCGCCCGATTCTGATCCTCCACTCACAAACTCCGGACTTCCGGTTCCTTCTAGCATTTCCGCCCCCCCCCCCAGGCGGTCGCGGAAATGATGCTTGGCTGGCTTGGTGGTGCATTGTTGTCAGATTACTGTGATTCGACAAAAGTGCACCCTACCCCACCGGAATAAACTCAGAATAAAAATCTTCGTTAGCCAGCCGAGTGGAAATTCTAATTAAATTCATTTTTCAGCAATCTGACACACGGATTTTTTTTAAAAAAGTTTGAAACACCTCGAGTCCCATATTACAATATTAATACTGGATTGCGACAAGTGTAATATATTTGTACTTGTAAAGGTTGCGGACTCTATCAAAAGTTTTTCACGGGAAATCAAATTATCAAACTGAACTTTTCTGTTGAAGCAACTATGCTTCCTCTATATATCAACTAAGTATGGAGTACAGATAGGCCAGAGGTCATTGCAGAAGTAATAGATATTTTAAGTTTCATTTGTAGATTCATATTTCTTAGGTTATTAATCAGGTACTGCATTTTATTGAATGTTGCTCTGATTCACTATCTGATAAATATATAGAAATGGTGCACTATAAAATTTTATTCTTTCACCAATAGAGGGACGGTTGCAGAAGCTCAACTTCTGATGAATAGGTTTGGGTATGGCTAAGCCTTATTTCTCATCTCAGTCGTTGCTAAAAGAATCTGAAATGGACCCCAAGGTTAATTTTAAGAGTGCCTGCCTCTCTATAGTCTGTTTAAAAGATGCAATGGAAGACAAGACTTTTTAAAATTGCAATGTCTAATAAAATTGGTATAAAAAAAGCAGTATGCCATTGTGCAAGCCTTTCAAATATATACAATATATATATATTTGAAAAGCTTTCAAAGCATATATATATATATGATGGCACCATGCAGCTTTTGTCATTTGAATCACGTCCAATACTTTTTATCTTTACTGCAATTGTGAAAATTGGCCTATCAGTTAAATAGATGTTTAGCTTGCCCTATTTGCACCAAAGCTTACTGAGGGAAACAAAAAGCTCAATTAACCCTGAAATTATCCAGTTGCATACAGAATAGCTATGGGCAAACAGCTCCATACAAATAGAGAAACTTGCCTTTTTCTAGCTGATGTGGTTTAAATTAATAGGGCAGGCTTTTAAGTAAAAGAAATGGGTACATCAGATGCTGGGGGAATTTTCAACTAGACTTGTCTAGTTGAAATATTTCCATCATATGGCAGGTGTGTAGACAGATTGACTCTGTCCTGGCTTCATGTATTTCATATTTGTAATTACAGAAACTTTTCCAGTGCTGGGTCCAAAGCTTTCAAAGCAAAAGCTTAGGTGTGTATCACAAAGTGTTATCAATCAGCACAAGTACAGCAGCATATTAAACAGTTCTCTGTGATACCCCAACATGTAGCATGCTTCATCTATGTGTTTCTTCACATAATTTGACTATACATAGGTCTTCATCAAATGGTTTGTTTCTTGGCTTTTTAAAAGTCATCCTTTAAGCAAAGATGAGTTTTTGAAGACTGGTGCTGAATACATTTCTTTACTGCTTATCATAAATCAAGGTAATTTAGAGAAAAATTTTGACACACAGTTTTTCAGATGGAGAAATTAAACTAATTAGTATTTAATTAAGAAAAGAATCAGTAATACATTTTACTGATGACATGTAGTTATAGTAGTATATTTAAATAACGTTTGGTATACTGAATCCTTTCTCAATGCATATGGACTGTGGTCCGCAAATGTTTTATGACACATTATGTCATACTAACCCAAATGTTTTTTTAAAACCATGGCTTAGTATAATTTGTGAGTTCATTTTTTAATTTTCAATTCTCCACAAGGAAAGCATTTATAATTATAGCTCATAACTTTATGTAACATCCTGGGTCAGGCAGACACGTTTACCAATGTTGGTATTAAAATAGGAAAATAATCACACACAAATATATATATTTGTTATTGCCAATTTATTGCCAAAGTCTACTGTTTTACAAAGTTCAGATACCTGGCAGACATCATAGATCTTCCTAATAAAAATAATTCTATTCAAGACTTGATGTTGAGCACTATGTAATTATTTTGTTGGTTTCTTGCATTTTCCGTGTTTCCTTTTCTTCTTGCAGTTATTTCATTACTAGCCTAAGTAACTTTAAGTGAGGGAAAAGTTGCAAGAAGAAAGCTCAAAGAACAAGAACCCCAACTGTTCAACCATGAGGTATATTGATTCTCCGCTATTGAAACTTTATTTTGCCTAACTTATGTGTTTTCCTGAAGTATTCTTGTCAAAACAGACATACAATGCATTTCTGTATTAGTAATTGCAGCAACAGGGCTGTGCGAAACAAATGAAAGAAATAAAAACTTTGCATGCACACTTTTATTCAGACACCACTGAAGCTAAATTATTGCAGACACATTTATACAGACTGCAAGACACTTTTTGAAGCAGCTTATAAATTCTCCAAAGGATATGACTTTTTTAACCTTCTATGTTTCAATTGCGGAATGTTTTATATACCGTATTTGCCGGCGTATAAGACGACCCGGCGTATAAGACGACCCCCCACCACCACTGGAAACGCCCTCCAGAAATCCCCGGGGCTGCAGCGGCAGGGCAGAGTGCCAGGGGCCGTGGGAAGAGCAGTAAGGCTGCAGCCTCGGGCGGAGCGAGGCGAGCGGGATGAAGCGGAAGCGACGCAGGGGATCCAGGAAGCCAGAGGCGCCTTCGCTGCGTCCAACAAGCCTCCGAAAGCCGGCAGTGGATATACCGGCGTATAAGACGACCCCCCCACTTGGAGGCATGTTTTTCGGGGCAAAAAAGTCGTCTTATACGCCGGCAAATACGGTAGTTGTGCATCACTTTGCAATTGATCTCCAAAAATATTTCGTGGTTGCTGTTCCCTAAGACTGGTCTTTTTGGTGACTGAATATATACAGGCAAACTTTGCTTACCAATTGCCTTGTGCAGCAATCATTTTAAAGTTTGACAGTGTTGAAAAGATAACTGACCAAGCTGAACTTTTACAATCTTTGCAGCATTCCTCAGTCATTTGTCACCATTACAATCCTATATATTGTCCTGTACATGAGCTGTTTCTTTTTTTTAACCTCACAGAGCAGAGAATGGAGAAAGATTACAAGAAGAGTAAGCAGGCAATGAATATACATTGCAAGGAATGTGCTCATATTGTCCATTGTTGCATTCTTTTCAATGTGCATCCCGCATTGTGTGTCTGCTTACCTTCTTGTAGTTCCTCCCTCTCCAATGAATGTAAATAGAAATATTAAATCCCTACTTAGTAATTATCCTAGCTTGGAGTGAGCATTTCAAAAGGCAGGGGAGTGGGGGAAAAGGAAAGCTTAACTAAAATCATAAAGCAGTCACAGCCATATGATTTCCCACTTAGCAACTGCATCACTTAATGACTGAATTTCCAATCCCAATTCTGGTCACTAAGTGAGAACTACCTGTACTGCTGCACAGTCCTATGACTTTGTAAAGCACACCCTTCTGATGCTTCACCTTATTCATCCTTTGTTTACTACAGACTGGTGCAGCATATACTGAGGCTAGGTACATCTAATGTGTAAGTCATTATAACTGATTGGTGGCTCATTCCCTGTTGCATTTTCTAGGGGCTGATGTTGCATAAAGTGTAGATGTATGATTTAAAATCAATTTTAATGGAAAACAAAGCAACAAAAGTAAAGTACATTTAGTATGTCTTAGCGTTTGTAAAAAAAATCAAATCTCATACACAAAATATCCCAAAATCTCAGTCTACTTCATTCATAACTATTTTAAGCCTTTAGTTTTTGCAATGCCACTTTATATTACCCATCCTTCTGTAGAATGGAATAAAAGAAAAAGCAATTATCAAGGCAAAATGGCCTATGAAATAGGAGGTCCATGTGAAAGAGCATAAAATTGCTACTTAGCTTAGGTTAGTTGATCAGATGAGTACAGTAATGTTTTAGAATTATACAGTCTGTTATTGATGCTACTGATTTCATATAGTAAGACCTTAAAAACATTATGGTAATAATGATTGATTTTACATATTTAGTCCCTAAATTATTTTTAGCTCTGTTGGTTGAAGAGCAAGACAGCTTTTCTCTTATATAAAGATATGAAATATTTGAATGATTCTGTAGAGCTGGAAGAGTCTGTAAGTCAACAGAACTAGACTTTTAATTTTGATTTTAACAATTCAGAATTGTTTTTATAAGGAAATTTACATAAGGCCTCTTACAGCCTGCAGTTGTTTATATACATAAAACTAATATTTAAAATTAGTGGGATTAGCATTAAATATAATGAGCAGCTTTGGTAGCATGCTACAAACATTTCATTTTACATTTTGGTGCACTGCTGGCACTTCCTAAACTTTTATTTGGAAATATCTGTTTTCTACTTATATAAAACAAAGGTGCCATCTTAGAAACACATCAAGTTGTTTTTCAGTTCAAATGATCAAGTAATCCATAGAAGACTGTCCTAAAATGTCACAAATAACCAAAAATACAGCTGTAAAACTTATACATGGGATGTACTGTATTTATTGGTTTGTTTGTTTTTTAATCAGTGTTAAGTTAGGAATTTGACCATGTGGCATCTACATCTGAAAGCTTTGCAGCAACATTTGTTAGAAGAGGTAGCAGCTGCGCTGTTAAATCTGAAACGCACAAGTCTAGTCAGGCTGTAAACATTTCTAGGAGTTTTAAATATCCAAAGAACAGCAGAAAAGGTTTTGAAGTGGGAAAAATCTGAACTTAAAACAGTAACATTAGTACATTTACTAAACTGAATTTAATTCAAACTATAAAGAGTAGAATATATTAGAAAAAGTATTAAAATTCTGCAAGATATCCAGAATCACTACTCTGTTGATCTTTACAGTTAACTTTTTCCGTGTTCTACATTTTAATACTCTTATAATTAAGTCATACAGGTATTTAAGTAGTCAATTTAGTGGAAAACCCACTTCATTATAATTCAGTGTGCAAAACGTTTCAAAATGATTTGTACACAATTTGTGTAAACACTTTTGATTGTTTTTCAAAGGAATTTCCATCCCTCTATATAGTTATTTAATATATTGGCTATATGATATCCTAACATATTGGCTATTTGCAATTCTAGTAGTTAAGGCCTCTTTGCTAGATACAGTTTTTCAGTAGTGCAACAAAAACAGTCTTTAATATTTTGATTAATATAGCAGACACATTTCAGAAATTCAGTACATCAAAACTCAAAATTTGTAACGTAGTTGAAAATACATTTTTATAATTCATAAGAAAAACATGATTTAAAAAAATCTTTATGGCGAATGGTCTTTTGTGGTTCCTAGTAATGGTTTTCAACTCTTTTCACAATTCAGTTTTGTTGTATTATAGTTATGTAGAAGAAACACTTTCACGATTTCACCAGGTAACTGAAAATATCCCCCAAATGCGGCAAAGGCATACATACAGTTTTCATAGTGCACTTTCACCTCACTGAAGTAAAAGTTGCTCCTGTTAGATTTTTTTTCCACTTCAATGTGAAGCAGATGTATATTTAGTGTTTGCATTAAATAATCAAATGGTCTAGCCTTCTTCTGTCAAAGACAGTCCTCAGATGAGGAATTATTTGGAAAGAGTATCTTGCTTAGTGTTACTGTTGACTATTTCTGTTTAAGCACATTAGTGCACACACGGCTTTGTCCTCCAAGTATATCAGTGCAACTGTAACAAATAAGATTCCACTTCCTAAAAAACAAAAAAAGAAGCAGTAATGCACATTAATTCAAAAAGTAATTCATAACACCAAACCTCTCTTTGAATGCCAGCCATAATAGTTCAAAACCCATAACAGTTCAAAACCCAGAGGAATTCTAGGAGTTGAAGTCCACACATCTGGCAAGCTGCCAAAGTTGAGAAACCCTGCTTTTAGCAAACACTTGTATGTTTATCTCTATTCTTACTTAGAAATTTCTTTGTAGAAACATAATAAAAACATCCATGCTTGAGTACAGGGTTTAAAAAGATTATCAGAGCATTTGAAGTGTTACATAGGAACAGTAGTAGTATTAACAGTTTTACTTGTGAATGGACAACCAGTATATAGGTAGTCCTCAACTTATAACAGTTCATTTAGTGATCGTTGAAGTTACACCGGCACTGGAAAAAGTAACTTATGACCATTTTTCATAATTATGGCCGTTGAACCATCCCTATGATCACGTGATTTACATTTGGATGCTTGATAACTAATTCACATTTATGATGGTTGCAGTGTCCCGCAGTCATGCGATCCCCTTTTGCGACCTTCTGACAAGCAATGTCAATGGGAAAACCAGATTCACTTAACAACCATGTTACTAATTTAAGAATTGCAGTGATTCACTTAACAAATGTGGCAAGAAAAGTCGTAAAATGGGGCAAAGCTTGCTTAACAAATTTCTCACTTAGCAAATAAATGTTTGGCTCAATTGTGGTCATAAGTTGATGACTAGTTGTATTTCATAAGTGAATTATAGTTAAACTTGTAGCTTAGCATAATGTATTAACATTATTACTAAAATATTTTGGTAACTCACATGTCCTTTAGTTCCTCTGATTCAGGTTTTAATTTAACACCTATACAATAACAAGTAAACTGATCTAGAAACATAACTTTGACATACAAAGATTTCATCCTCTATCTCCCATTTGATGCACTAAGCAAAAAGTATAATCTGGAGGGGTTTTTTCTTTAATTTGCTCAGATAATTAATTCCCCAATGATGCTGAAAGTTCTATTTTGTATTCATGTGAATGCATGTAGAACCTCACTCCTAACTTTTCTATTTCAATTAACAAAGTTAGAGTGAGGGATAACTAATGCAGAGATATTATGAGACAAACTACACTGCTCAAAAAAATAAAGGGAACACAAAAATAAGACATCCTAGATCTGAATGAATGAAATATTCTTATTAAATACGTTGTTCATTACATAGTTGAAAGTGCTGACAACAAAATCACACAAAAATTATCAATAGAAATCAAATTTAGCAACCCATGGAGGTCTGGATTTGGAGTTACACTCAAAATTAAAGTGGAAAAAAAACACTACTGGCTGATCCAATTTTGATGTAATGTCCTTAAAACAAGTCAAAATGAGGCTCAGTAGTGTGTGTGGCCTCCACGTGCCTGTATGACCTCCCTACAACGCCTGGACATGCTTCTGATGAGGTGGCAGATGGTCTCCTGAGGGATCTCCTCCCACACCTGGACTAAAGCATCCCCCAACTCCTGCACAGTCTGTGGTGCAACGTGGTGTTGGTGGATGGAGCAAGACATGATGTGCTCAATTGGATTCAGGTCTGGGGAATGGGCAGGCCAGTCCATAGCATCAATGCCTTTGTCTTGCAGGAACTGCTGACACACTCCAGCCACATGAGGTCTAGCATTGTCGTGCATTAGGAGGAACCCAGGGCCAACCGCAACAGCATATGGTCTCACAAGAGGTCTGAGGATCTCATCTCAGTATCTAATGGCAGCCAGGCTACCTCTGGCGAGCACATGGAGGGCTGTGCGGCCCCCTAAAGAAATGCCACCCCCCACCATTACTGACCCACTGCCAAAACGGTCATGCTGGAGGATGTTGCAGGCAGCAGAATGTTCTCCACGGCATCTCCAGACCCTGTCACATCTGTCACATGTGCTCAGTGTGAACCTGCTTTCATCTGTGAAGAGCACAGGGCGCCAGTGGCGAATTTGCCAATCTTGGTGTTCTCTGGCAAATGCCAAACGTCCTGCACGGTGTTGGGCTGTAAGCACAACCCCCACCTGTGGACGTCGGGCCCTCATACCACCCTCATGGAGTCTGTTTCTGGCTGTTTGAGCAGCCACATGCACATTTGTGGCCCGCTGGAGGTCATTTTGCAGGGCTCTGGCAGTGCTCCTCCTGTCCTTCTCCACAAAGGTGGAGGTAGCAGTCCTGATGCTGGGTTGTTCCCCTCCTACGGCCTCCTCCACGTCTCCTGATGTACTGGCCTGTCTCCTGGTAGCGCCTCCATGCTCTGGACACTACGCTGACAGACACAGTAAACCTTCTTGCCACAGCTCGTATTGATGTGCCATCCTGGATGAGCTGCACTACCTGAGCCACTTGTGTGGGTTGTAGACTCCGTCTCATGCTACCACTAGAGTGAAAGCACCGCCAGCATTCAAAAGTGACCAAACCATCAGCCAGAAAGCATAGGAACTGAGAAGTGGTCTGTGGTCACCACCTGCAGAACCACTCCTTTATTGGGGGGTGTCTTGCTAACTGCCTATGCTTTCCACCGGTTGTCTATTCCATTTGCACAAAAGCATGTGAAGTTGATTGTCAATCAGTGTTGCTACCTAAGTGGACAGTTTGATTTCACAGAAGTGTGATTGACTTGGAGTTACATTGTGTTGTTTAAGTGTTCCCTTTATTTTTTTTGAGCAGTGTATATACATTTCTGTCCTTGATGTATAAATAACATAAATACACTACTCAGAGCCTTCTGTCTGCAATACAGGAAATAGTATTCTCTATTATCTGCAAGATAACATGATGTCCTTTGAAAGGTTATTCTATGAATGCTAAGAATGATTGTGCTGACTGTTCTATGAAATAATAAAAATAGTTCTTCTCTGCTAAACAAGGAGGTTAACTTTAAGTGATTTTTTTTAATGAAAGGCAAAGATTGAGATAATAACTAGATAAAATAACCAAGGGATAAGAGACAGAGAGACGAGCAGACATATAAACCAGATTCAATTTCTATGTCAATAGTGACAAGAGGGAGAGGGGTGAGAGGATTGCTCGACTAGCCCAGTATCTGCCTGAACATGAGTGCATTGATATACAAAGAAAAATACTGTTAATTTCAAATAATTAACCTCAAATGGAGAAATAAAATAACTCAACAGGCTATCTTCAAAGTTATACAATGGGGTTTCGGCTCATGCCAAGGGACTCTCTATCTTCAACATAGCTCTGGAGAATCTAACTCTGCAGAGTAGACTTTGAGTATCACAGTAAGGGAAGGGCAGAAGAATATAAATTTGGTACATTCCACTATAAGTTAAATTATATAAACTTAAGACCATAAATTAATTTTAAAAATATATTATCATCAAATAGATTTCTATTACCTTTGCTATATTACCCGTATATCCTGGAACCAAAGTAAGATGATTTTCTTGTTTCCACAATATACTTAATTGTTCTTTTAAAATCTGAATATTTCTAAGAAAGAAAGCCAAAAGTATGAAATATCAATGCATTAAATAAAAAGCAATCAGTGTTTCATGGTAACTATCTTATCTAGATTTCAAATATATGACCAATTGTACCTTTAGTAAGTTACTGGCTAATGCAGAAAAAAATGTTTTAAATAATTGTAACTGAAATTTGAGAAGGCCATCACAACATTCCATCAACCTTAGAGCAGGTTTTAATTTATGTTCCATACATTTTTTTCTTGCATTATGCTAGAGACTTCAATAGACGCCGTATTTTCAAGATCAGAAATATATTATTTGTGTAGGAACGGAAGCACTGAGTGCCGTCAGCTAAGAAGTGTTGGCTGCTCTTTTCTGACATGGCACCTGCTTTGTGGAATATAATTCCACCAGAGATTAGAGGGACCCCAACCCTACTGGCTTTTCACAAGGCCCTAAAAACTTGGTTTTGAGCTAGAGCCTGGGACCTGGAAGTGAGATGGAGCTCATCTCTTGGCTTTGTTAATGGTTTTTGTTTTTTGCCTGACTGCTATATTTTTTATTTTATATAATGTATTTGTTTTTTTCTATTTTACTGTAATCCCCCCCAAAGTTACATATATGATGGATATGGATGGATAGCTATATAAACCAAATGAAGAATTCTATGTGTATCTCACATTGACAAAATTACTTTGCAATTGTTATTCAAGTTAGTGATTTTTTTAGATAACAGGTTATTGAAGATTAGGCAAGAAAATCTACAATGAGTCATACTTTTTAGTTCTAATAGAAAATGTTCCTCCATTTTTATAGCAGAGTTTTCAATACTAAATGAAACAAAAAGATCTGGACGATCAAACTTCTTGAATACTGTATTTAATCTGATCATGTTTATAATTGTTCCCAACAGTATGTTCAAAAAAATCTCGTTTTTTTTTTAATCAGGAAAGTTTTTAGGTATTAAAAAATATCCAATGTATTTACGTACTAGCTAAAAGTTTAGAAGCCATACTAAAAGCCACACTGCATGTTTAAAAAGAATAACTTACCCATCTTCTATCTTATCCTTATGGACAGAAAGTTCTGACCACCATTTCTTAATCACAGCCTGAAGCCAATTTAAACCAACAATTACATACCTAGAGGGAAAGAAATCATTATAGTGAAGACTTTATTCTGAAAACTGCTTAAACATTGGCAAAATATTCCTTAAAACAATTGCAAACTACTAAGAAATCTTTCAAATCAGGTTTTCTTTAAATTAAATGGAAGAAACAAGCAGAATAGTTCTTCCTAATAGAATTAAGGTTTTTTTTTCTTAGAAGGCAAAATGTCTGAGATATATGGGTGTAACTCAACAAAGGTATTACTGAGAAACATTTTTTTCCCAAGTCATTCTGTTTAGCAACACTGATTTTGGTTTTCCCAAAATCTTTTTTATTCAAACAGGCTTAAGCAATTCAACTGACATAAATTGATTGTTTTTAAATATATAAATAGCAGGAGGCACATCTTTAGCCTCAGTAAATCAGGCTGAGGAAGACTTAAGTGCAAATATAAAATTGTTACAGAACAGATGATTTTCTAGCATCCCTTACTTTAACCCATCCTGCCTGGGATTTTGGAATTTATAGCTCAGCAACATTTAAAAGGCCATTTATTTGCCCTGCATGTTAGGACAATGAAACCAATAACATCACTGTTCTATGAATTTATAAGGATTAACAAACTGTAAAAGGTAAGCATTAACTTTTATTTTTATTCTCTAAATAATCACAAAAGATTTTTTTAAAAAAACTTACTCTTCAAATTTGCTTTTAAGGATTAATTCTACTAATGGTAGAAGGTCTACACAGCAACCAACCGAAATATAAGCTTTACCTTCCTGTAAACTGAAACAAGGCATTATTAGTATGCATAAATTATACATCTTAAGACTCCATTAACCCCTTCCTCTAGATCTTTCTTTTACCTTCTGGTAAGGACAGGGAGACAATCTACAACTACTCCCAGATCTTGTATCCTAGAAACATCATGAAAATACACCATTAGTCATTGCTTTGTGTAATTCTTTGATACATTTCACAAGAGTAGTATTAATACCTTAAGGGCAGTATATTAGAAATGGCTGGATTTTATTCCATTATTTTACACAGACAAAGTCTGTGCATAGTGAGCCTATGAAGAATTTCCACAGGTTTTAAAATAATGGTCTCATATTCCATTATTAATTATTATTATTGTTTGTCACATAGTCAGATGTTTAGACTGAATTTGATATTTTTATCCACTTTTCCAAGTATGTAGATGTTGTTTGATGGTATTAAGAGTTGCAGAATATAGACTGTTACAAATAAAACTGTGTTTTGCAATTGATTGTTATTTTTTCAGTGCCAGTGGTGTTCAAATGATGCATCAGTTTGTTATTATTGTGGTCCTTTGCACAGTCAGATAGATGTTTAGCCTGGATTTGGCATTTAAGTCCACTGTTATTGTTATATAAACATAATTGGGTTGTGGACAGTTCCTGGAGGGAACACCCAATCAATAAGATTCATGCATAGTCTCCATCTAGGCTTTTCTTTGTAAAAAGAATCCTACATATAACGCACACATACACACCAAACACACAATGTGACTTCAGTTCAGCAAGCAGCAGTTTTCTTAAAGCTTTACCTCACTAAATAGGCTACAAGTTCACTTATACTTTTCTTCTTCCAAAACGTTAAAGCTACATTCAGTCGGAGATTTCTACTGAAAAGAACTTGGGCCATCGTATCATGATCTTCAGAAACCTAAAAACACAAGAATAGTGTAAGTATTATGATTCTATGAATTTTCTATTTGCTGAATCTATTAAAGATATCTATATACAGTCCACACAAGATGTTTAATGATAAATAAATATTGTCACAGAACAGTATTTCCATTAATGGAAGCAGTTGTTGCTCACAGAATAGAGGAGTTGTTGACAGGCATTGCTCTAATTTGCATGTTCCTCTATAATATGAAGGAACAAAAAAAAAGTTGTTGCATTAACCTACTGGAATAATAGTAATTTATGTAGCCAGCACATTCTGTCTGTCTTCTGAAAGAAAGACAGAATGTAGTCACAGCATGAAAGCCTTTTTTCCGGCAGTGGTAACAGAAAGGGAATGGAATGGGAAAAAAGCATTTACATTAGATTTTCAATTACATACTCATTCTATTCACCCTGAACTGTTTTCTGTATGTTATAATTTTCTGTATGTTATAATTTTTGTATGGTGCTCTAATCTTGGTGTATTCTGAACAATAAAACAGAAGAAATCGAACGTAATAATAAATAAGTAAATCAGTAGTTGACCACAATCATATTAAAGACCAAAAAATAGTTGAAACAAAAGTTGTTTTTGAATGAGCCATAAGCACCTCTGGGGAAGATGGTTCTGAATATGGAGGTTATCACTGAGAAGTCTTCATGCCCAGCCAAACCTCTGTACTTTGGAGGATTGGGATTTTCAAAGGTCCCTATCTAGATATCTAGCTTGGATAGACAGAATCCTATCCTAATCCTGATATATCCCATTGCCACATTATGTAGGGCTTTATAGCTAATGAAAAACATGCTGAATTGGACCAGAAAACATACTTGTACTGACAACCAATGTGTGGCCAAGGCAGGAATAATTCTGCTGTAGAGAGTTCTCCAAGTTAACAGTTTGGTTGCTGTGTTCTGCACCATCTGAAGCTTTTAGGTTGACTTCAAAGGCATTTCCACATAATGCACATTGAATAAATCCAATTATGCTGTGATAAGGCCTACATTACTATTATTGAGCGTTTATAGGTAAATTTAGGGCGCACCAGGCAATACCGCCTCCAGCAGTACTTCCACCTTCTACAACAGCAAGAGCTGAGGGTCCAAGAGAAGTTCTAAGATACAGATCATCTCCTTTAGGAAAACATGATTCTGTCAAGAACAACTATTGGGGTTAATGTTCCCAGATAACTTATGTTAATGTACAAATAGCAACACAGTTTCAGTAGGATATAGTATGAGCTTGCTTTTCCTTATTCATTCCAAGACAGCCTCTAGATCTTGCAATGTTGAGTTACTATATCAAATAATGTTGGTATTAATAAAATGGGTTATAGCCAGTTCTATAATTGTGCTGGTGGATTACATTTATTCACTGGTACATCTTTCCTCTCCAGTTCTCATAATCTCTAATCTGAAGTAGATTTTGGTGATAGGTAGTTCATAGCAAAGAATAATCAAACCCCAATATGCACAGTAAAACAGAGGAAGGTAAACAGGGTTCCAGTGCTTACACTTAAATTTTTAAAAAGATAAAATATTTGATTTACCTCTGAAAAAAACCCACTGTATTTTGATGAACTTTCTGTTTGAGATCGGCCAGCATCACTGGAGTTCAGTAAGAAGGTACGACCATTAGGAGGGAATTCGGCTGGCAGGTTACCTGCACAGGCTAGTTCATTTTCCTTATTTGCCATGTCACGGCCTCTAACTTTAGGGAGCTGTTTCTTTCTGAAACAAGGCTTTGGAGAATAGTAGTGAGCCTTTCTTCTACAATATGCTACTTTGAACAGAGGATGAGGGCTGGTTAGCGTTTGTCCAACTGTTGTTCTGCAAGAACAAGAAAGTTCATTTAAAGTCTGAATATAAAACATCCAAGCAACATATAAAGTCACATGCAATCTTAGAATCTTTTGTGCCATCTTGCATTCATTATAAGAATACTATTAGACATGAACCTTTACTTCAAATCTGGCATGGGAAACGCTATTTGAAGCATTACCTCCTAAAACTATTTATGCTTATATCTCTCCCCCAGGACATTAAAAAGTTGAGGAAAAATAAGAATAGATACAGCAATAAAAGTATCCTATTCACAATCACCTCCCTGTAAAAATGTGTGAAATACATTGATCCAAAAAAGATTGGCATTATTTTTGACAAATTGCTCTACATAGATAGCTCAGCAGTTACAAACAGAGGCCCCTGGAATTGGAACAGTATAAGCAGTTTCGGTTGGTTAATTATTTTTCCTTATAGTCAACCACCAAACAAGTAGAGGTGTGGAAATTAAGTTCCTTATAGACCAATTTACATAACCAGGAGACTTCCTTTGGTGTGACAAATCAGTTTTATTAGATGCCTCTGACATTAGGACAATGCTATTTTTATCCTAATTAGAGATGAGCACCAAGAGATGGAATGAGACCAAAAAACCATTTCAGCTCATGATGGCATGCCAAAGATGCTAACAGCATTTAGTTCTAAGGAACCTGCACAAAAATGCCCTCTTTCAATAGTTTCAATTAATTATTTAAATCAGGATCTAAACGCAGTAGTCTTCTTTTCTCACAATCAATCAACCAAGGTAGTTCTTACCTGCTTGTGCAAGAAGCCAAATGTTTTGTAGATTCCTTATCCTAGAAATAAATATAAAAAAGTGTTACCAAGAACAACACTAATAGTAATACCTTATTTCATCCATATTGTCATGCCCCTGTTGGAGTCTGAATCCGAGGAGGAAGATGAACAGCTGACAGGGAATGTGAGTGTGGCTCTGTTGGCTGTGGAGGAAACTGGGGAAGGGCAAAGTCCAGCTGGGCAGAGCAGGGGAGAAATAGAACAAGGGAGTTCAGAGGAAGACCCAGGCCCAGCCCCTCTTCATTCTAGGACACACAGGGAGGAACGGAGAGCAACGTGGGTTGCATGGCTTATAGGGGAGGAAAGGGCCCTGATTCCCTTCACTAGCCACACCTGGGAATGAGTGTTTAAAAGAGATGCAAGCTGAGTGCGGAATCTGCTGGGAACAAATGTGAGTTTATCTTGTGTTGAATTACTGCCATTCCTTCACATCTTGAATTCCTTCTCTTGCCCTACCAGACTAATTATTTCATCTTGCCTTGATTGGAATTATAGTTAGTTTTTGTTGACCATGTTTTGGACTTGATTTTCTGCAGCCAAAGGCTGTTCCTGGGAGAGTTCTGTTCAGCCCAGAAGGTAACCAGGACATTGGGGGGCAAAGTTGGAGTTAATAAAGGGACTCTTACTGATTATCTGACTATGTTGCCTTTGTGCCATGTCCCGGGTCATCACACATATTTTAAAATGCATTTTCACTTAGATTTGATAGTATTTGGAGAAAATCAAATTAGTTTTGGCTTCAGAAAAGTGAAATTACCAATGACAACCCTGACTATTTAACTGAAATACATGATATTATGACATCCAGGAGGACAGAAGAGATTATGACATCAGAAATATAAGAAAACTTTGTACTACGATCAGGAGTACGATGTCATTTTTGACATTAGGGAAAAAGTCTTACTAAAATCATTATATAACAATTAAGAATTTATTACATTCTGTACCAATGGCTTAAAAATACAGCATGTGGCTTTCTTCAGAATATCAACTTAGCTAGTATTTATTGTGAAACTAGTAGATGATTGAATAAATCACAGGTGTCAAACTCGTGGCACCAGGTTGCTGTCACGTGACGTTTCACGGCATTTTTTCCCCTTCACAGAGCTGTGGTGGACATGGCCTGCACGTGACGCATTCGGCCCTCAATCCTCAGCCCACCAGTTTGACACCCCTGGAATAAATAGATGCTTTAATATTTAATATTCTGATCTGTAATTCAGTTTTTTTACAAAATAGCTTAGGACACGTGGCATTTTTAGCTCTAAGGCCTTTTATCAATATAAGCAACGTTTTGTTTGCCACCTTTATGTTCACAAGTTAAAAACATTTCAATTTAATTTACAATCTGTGGTATGGACACTTTGAGATTAGTAACATTGCATTTTAACTTCTTCATTTTACAAAAGCACTACTGGTGAGCATTCAGAATCTATAATATAATCTATAATATGGGTTGCATTAGTATAAACTCTTTTCATTTCTAGACTTTGGGTTTTATTACATCATATAGTTGGATTCATTAACATTTCAAGATATAAACCATGAATCAAAGAAATTTCTAGCATTATTATAGTATAATAAATTATTGGGGTGGGTGAAATGTGCAAAAGAAGCCTTTTAGAAACTTAAAGAAAACTATTGATGTATTAATGGTTAACATTTGTAGTTTAGGGGAATTAAGAACGTAAGATAATCTTTAACAGGAAGTGCCAGCATCCCAGCCTATTTGTCCCCAAAATATTTTCAAATTGTACTACCATTTTGTGTTTCTTTTTCTATAGTTCCATTTTTTCCTAGATTACTTTATAGTTATGTAATTCAGAAACTTCAATTGTAGAATAATAATCTTATCACTTTTTATAATCTATATTAGTGAGCATGACTCTGCTAAGATCTATTGCTATTGACAGAAAGCAATTCTTTTTCTTATGTATATATTCCTCCTCTTCTATGTATTATCTGTCCATCCATCCATCCATCTATCTCTTCTATATATTCCTCCCGTTGTGCTCTGAACAATCTTGAATGGAGAACTCTCCAGAGCAGCAAGGTTTTAGAAAAAACTGTTTCCCCTTTTTAATGGAAACTACTAAATTAAAACCTCTTTTGCTTCTGGCTGGGCAACTCAAGATAAAAATCGTATCTACAGATATCTCTGGAAAACCCAGTTTTCATCCATTGAACAATTTTTCATATCATGGAATCTGCTGACAGTCCTTGGATTGTAGTGATATATATGGAGTTATATATGTTATAAATAAGTAAATAAATTATCCAAATTCAATAAATACTATACTGTAAATGGAACAAATCACAAGTAATCAATAAAATCCTTGTGAATTTATGGCAGCACTTACTTGATTTCGCACTATGGTATATATTTAGAGGTAAGCTGAGAATGCTACATCCCAAAATACACCCTAAAATTGGCTTCAGTTTAGCCAGGGAAGGGTTTATCCACGAGTATATATGGTACCATTTTTTTGAAGTACCCTTATTATACTTCCAGATAAGCCGACCCTCAAATTTTTAACCCGAATACCATGAAAACTTTGCCACCCGTGGGTAAGCCAATTATAAAAAATTAAACATGATAAAATTTCAATGGTCAGCTTATTCATGGGAAGTACATTTTTCATAGTATTTTGGTTAATAATTTGAGGGTCATCTTATCTGTTAATGGGCTGTTCCACAAGTCATATATAGTAGTTGCATCCACAGAAAAATGTCAAATCATAGCAAATGAGTTTATGTATGATTCTAAGGCAAAAGACTTTACTATAGTTTAATGTACAGGTAAATCTGTTTTACCCAGTAAAGGTAAATTTCCACTTTCCCTAAAATAGTCTCTATTCCAAATCTCAAAGTGAACATAAAGATTACTATGTTATCTTTTAGAGAAGACTACTAACATATGCTTCATTTTCTCAGAGATAATAAAATATTTAGTTTATTTTATTGTCATTGCACTTCGTACAAAATTAAATGCCATCTTCAGTGTAAATTATAACTATAAAAATAAAACGCAAACACATATCCTTTCACGTTCTATACAATTGAATTGAAAACCCCTGATATTGCATTAATATTGCATTATACAGTAGAATTCAATATATACTTGAATTATATAGAATATAGAATTCAAATATTTTATTTCACAAAACATTTCCATTATATTGTAGATATATCAAAAAATTCTCTTTAAAGCTGAGTTCTAATGGCTTAATGGACACAATAGCTAATGGCTTAATTAATGGCCATAATGGCTTAATGGACATCACTCTTTTTGATGTGGTTTATCAATGTTTTCTTTCAGGATAGTTTTCTTCCTTGTCTAATCTAAATCCCCAGAATTCTCCACAGATCTCCTTATTCAAGTAACCAAGCAGCACCAGCTATCCATTAGTGTATCCAAATCAATTCATTTGCTGCTATCTAATAAGATTAAGGATTCTTTATAAATGGCAGTTCTCTCACAATATATATTTACTGAACAGTAAAATGACACGTATTAGTTTTTAAAACTAGTATTCAAATACACAAGGTAAGATTTAGACAAATAATATACGAAAAGCTTACCTCCTTCATATTCTCATTAAGGGAATGAGAGCTCCTTTTCTTAGGGAGATTAATAGGACGACCCTCAATACATAACAGGTTCCGTTTTCTAACATTTTGAGCTTCAGATGCCATAATCTCCACAATTCCTAATTTTGGAGACAGAATTAATTTACAATCTTAATATTAATTATCATGTTTAGACTCATATTTATAACGGTTGCAGTGTCCCAGGGTCACATGATCACCTTTTGTGACCTTCTGACAAGCAAAGTCAATGGGGAAGCCAGATTCATTTAACAATAGTGTTACTAATTTAACTGTAGTGATTCACTTAACAACCGCGGCAAGAAAGGTCATAAAAATGGAGCAAAAGTCATTAACGAAGGAATTTTGGACTCAATTGTGGTGGTAAGTCAAGGACTACCTTTATTATATGCTCAATAATCCTCCCCCAAAAGAGAAACCTGGAATTGGGAAATACAAGTGCTGATGCAGAAAATTTACTTTTAAGTACCATTCATTAGTACAACATTAAGAATATGATTAAGTTTGGATTCAGCTCACATCTAAACTTTCTTAGCAATATTTGACATGTTCCTGTAATATTGCTTATAATAATGAACAAATCTGTCTAAAAAGCAATAAAGTGAAACTTCTGTAAATATTGGATTATGAAAACAATTTGTTCTCAGATAGCTGTAAAAATATCCCCAGAACACTTCTCAGCTTTAAATTCAAGTTCTACCAGATTTAATCTCAAAGGGAAAAAATACTTTAATGTCGCATTTTGGGTAATACAGAGAAAGGATATGGTACAATCTATATTACACTCTAAACCTGATTGTTAAAATAGAACTGAATATCCTGTATAGTATTAAAATTATGGTTAACTATGTATTTTTACTAATTGTGCATAATATTGTAACCAGATCATACTATAGACTGTACTGTGCACTGTAATTATTCTCTAGATATTTTAAGATATAAAATTTTAAACTGTAAAAGCTATTTCTTAAATTTTATTGTAAACTCTGGCCCTATTTACCTTAATGTTCATAATATGTACTTGTTGGTTATTTCTCAACTAGCAAAGTAAGCAAAGAGGGCCACTTCCTTAGGTAGAAGCTTCTGAATATTGAGCATCAATAAGGAACTAGGCCAGTGATGACGAACCTTTTGCTCACCATGGCAAAAATTCAGAAAATGCCTAATTTGACTCTGCTCCCCGTTATTGCATATTTATATAAAAAAATATAGGCCAATCATGAGTGCTATGTATTATATAAAGAAACATTAAATGGTTACAAACATGAAATACAAATAGAACAAAGTCATTTTCAGACTTGTGCTTTTTAGAAAGTTGTCAAGTGTTGGTGTGACATGTCACCTTTGACACACATCATAAGTTTGCCATTGATGAGCTAGGCCAGGGGTCCCCAATCCCCAGGTGGCACAGGTCCACAGCATGCCAGAAACCAAGCCGCGCAAACAAGCAGAGCCCTATCTGCAAGATGCTTGGCAGCACACAAAACCATGCCCCCTCTGGTCTACGGAAAACTCTTTTTTCCTGGACCCAGTCCCTGGTGCCCAAAATGTTGGGGGCCACAGAGCTAGGCAAACTGTAGCATGTAACACGGTTAGGAACATTTCTAGTGATATAACAATAATGAAATAAAGTTGCAAGCACTCCTGCCTGCTACCTCTGCCTTTCCTGTTGTAAACTCACACATTCCCCTCTGCTGTTTGCTGCTCTCCCATTTGCATATATAAAATTAAATCAGCCCAGGCTGTGGCACATCAGGTTTCTACTGCAGCAATAGCCCTTTTAATCCCATCACAGCCAAAACAATGAGAAAGCCCTCACTTATCTTCAAAAAGGTTCATCTAGGGTGCAGTCTTAAAGAGTTAGGCATCTATAGATCATTGCGATAAACATGGTTCTTCTCCTCAGCATTGTATTCCTTCCTTCAGTAAAAAAGCTCCACAACCGTTCTCTGGATATTTTTCAGGCAGCAGGTAGACATGTAGTGTGAGTCCTTCACATAGCAAAGGATAGGCCAGGATGGCTTAAAACAATCCTTTCTAGCTCTGATGGTGAGCAACACAAATAGCTTGGTGAACTCTGGCCCTGAAACCACTAAATGTCCCACAGCACTAATGTGGGATTGACAGCATACCTAGCTGCAAAATACAGCCCCCGATTTCCCCCTCACTCTATATCTCTGGATTGTATTAATTATTATTCATTGTGAGAGCTTAGTAGTGATTCTTGAAATATTTTTCCCTTTACAGTTGAGGTCTGAACCTTCCGGCATTCTGCACTATTTAAATTGCAACCCACTCTCACTCTGCATCTGTGTTAGAAAAATAGTCACCAACTGCTCTCCTGATATGGGTTATCAGCCAGCAAACAGCCTACCAGAAAATAGGGAAAAGAGAGATAAGTCTACTAATGGGGTCGCTGAGAGACCAACATCTCCATTATTTAAAAGCTTTAGACCAGCAATATAGGATGTATTTGAGAATTATACTATTATGGTTAGAAAGAAAGCCAAAAAATTAAAAACCGGTTTCCAAATAGTCTTGTCTTCCCTTTCTCATCCCTTATTTTTTGCTATGCAATATTACATTGCATCTTTTAAACTACAAGTCTGAAAAACAGGGTAGACATGTTTTACATAGAAATCAAACATGTTGTAACACTGGAGGCCATCTGCTTTATTTAAGCTGAGGAGATCAAGTAATCAACAGCAGTTAAATCCATGATTTGGCTTTCATAGCACTATCTTATTTGAAATACCTGAAGTGATTTGATTTTTTTTACCCCATTATTTTTACATGCTCAAATCTGGCTTAAGTACCATAATTAAAGAACAATTGATAAAAAGGTATCCTAATATTACATCAATAAAGGACAGAGTCATCTATTGTCTGTTCCCCAATGTGGGACACTCTAGTTGCATTAGGCTTCAATTTCTATAATCTCCCAGAGAAGATAACTGGATGATACCAGGTAAGGGAAGATTGGCTTACCTGTAGCATATGGAATGGCTGATACGTTTTAAGGATAGAAAAGCCTTTATCAATAATTCCTTTAAACCTATATTACCAAGCAATAATATATACATACCCCCCAATGATTAAATATCACTAAAGCCTTATTCTCCCCAAATCACAAACAGGTAGACAGCTTGTTCTGCCATGCTGTATTCATTTGCTACATATGGTCTCTTTTACAGTACATTCATGTGGCTGCTACATACAATGCAGCTATTCCTAGTCAGTAATTAAGACTTGTCTAGTCAATCTACTTAACTGTGTTAAAACTATCAGTTATTACATGAGTAATCTACCAGATTTAATGCCTATGTTCACATTTGAACATATGAACACATTTGCAGTCTATATTCACATTAAATTACTTTTCTGGAATGGGTTTTTGAAACAATTTATTTGTGTAATTGCAGTTTTGCAATCTACTATGTTGTTTCAGGATGGCACTTTAGCAATCTCACTTTCTCATACAACAGAATAACTACCAGAATAGGTAAAGTCATTATTTTACAATTACTTAACTGTCATTAGTTGGAATTATCTGCAAATTCATAAGCTTTCATTATTAGATGTACCCCATTTTGAGAGTCAGAATGATTAGCATTTTATGTAAAATCATCAACATCATAAAGAACAAGTTGTGGACCTTTTTTCAACTATGATTTTGATAACTGTGGTTTAATATGAATTATGGATTTAAGACAGAAAGAAAGCAATAAGGAAGGAAAATCCCACACAGATCTTTTTCCTCCAAGGCCAAAGCTATGTAAAGTAACTATCACTTGATCAGAACACTTGAACACAATACTGCCAAAATATTTATTTTATATTTAATAGGTCTTATAGGCTTTTCCAGACTTGATAAAGACTATACAATTATAACAAAAATATTTGTCTCTAACAACAGTGTTCACTTGAATCACATTAGAACTAAAAAAAAAAAGATAATGTTGATGTCTTTAATTCAGAAGTTCCTTTGATTTATTACTTTACTTTAGTAAGTTCTTTGGCTTGTCATAAAGCAAGCAATATAGTCTTTGGTGCCCTCT